ACTGTAAAACATATACAAATAGAATGTACAAACCTCATACACATCCGTAGAAATTTCTATAACATGAAGAAATTATTTGCAAAAACCTAACCAAAAAATATATTGGATTTTCTAAAAAAAGAATTGGTCTCTTATCAAAGATGTAGACTGATGGATAAACAACATATCCTACCTTTTACCATTTTGCAAATAAATTGTTCTTATCAAATGGAAATTCTTGACTTAAACAAAAAATACCTAGGATTAGTTTGCAGTGTGCAAGCAAATAAGCTCTAGCTTGCTAAAAATGTTCCATACAAAATAAGCATTTAAAATTCATATATTTGGCATATATATATATATATATATATATATATATATATATATATAAACTAAACTGGTTTTGGCATTAAATAACCCACAGTGGTTGATATGCCATAAAACCCAAACAAACAAATATATTAGTATATAAGAGGGATTGGTGCTCGCACCGCGGCTAGAGCAACATCATGTCCTCATGTTTAGTACAGATGATCTCAAAATAATCTTGAAATAGAATATGTCTAAAACAAATCAATAATAGGGTAGGACTAGATTATAAAGGTTCGCTCGCCGGACTTCGTTGCAAAAAATAAGAACTATCGGTAAGCAACATCAGCGTAGGGTGGCAGGACTTGTGATGGACGGGAACGTAACGGACGCGGCCTGGATTCGAACTTCGACTTGCAGATTTCTTGGTTAGGGCCTCTAACCATTACACCATTTGCACACATTGTATACATGCATAGACTATTCTAATTTCCGAAGCACTTTGGTAAAAAAAAATAAAGCTCATTGTTAGCGCAATACTGTTTCTTTATTTATTTACTAGCAGCATGGTCCGGCGTTGCCCGTGCTTGATTCAAAAATCGTACAACTCATACAGCAATCGCTATCACTTGACTTAAAATATTTTTGCCCTTCCTTGCCTTTAAAGGAGTGCCCTTTGCCGTGCTGATGTTGCTACATGCCTTACTTCTTGCCTATCTCACACTGCGAATTTTTTCGAAGCTCTATACTAAAAATTAAATCTGTTACGAAAAAAGAACTAAACAAAATGAACACAAACCTATCAGCTTTAAAAAAAGGACTCGTAACTGGAAAAACCGAATGAAAAAAGAATGTTAACAACAAATACTTTTTCACACTCAACCCAGTTCTGCGGAATCAGAATCAACGTTGAATTTAAAAAAGCGAACGAGCCAATTGGGGTAAAGTGCCATGCAGATTTAAATTTTTCCCACTTGTGACGAATGCAGCTATCGATTTTTTTGCATGCTAGTTAATATTCATGTCAGTCAACTGTTGGCTCTCACGCTGGCCAATAGAATCTTCCTGCCTATTCGTGCCAGCTAGCTACTCTGTCCAGTAGAAAAGGTCCGCAAACTACATGAAAACTGCCGTAGAAGAATGAAAAAATCGATTATTTCCACTATCGATGGGAGTTGGGAAATACAAAGTCGGTCTTGGCCTTTCAACTAACTTGGAGCATGTGCATGTAAATTTTGGTGCAAATCCGTCGAAAATTGCGGCCGTGCATTCGTTACACACACACACACACACACACATCATGCCTTTTATAGATAGAGATTATCATATTCAATCTGTGCTAATTCCGTCGGCCTCCGATGTGAGTTACGACAGAATAAACACAATTCAGAATCCTTAAAATCTTTGCTTCTGTACTTATTTGATGGGAAGAACATAATTAAGGAATATCTGTCATTCCCCACCGCCTTGTTTTTTTTTTCTGTATTGGGGGGAGGTGAGTGTAGGAAGAGGGTTGTATATTTTTTATCTTAATAAAACCATAACATAACGAAGTCAATGGCTTTTTACTGCCATAGTTAGAGAAGCAACGCTCTGATGTACATTCCATTAAAAATTACCAACAAGATATTTCTGCCAAGTTTTTAGTATATATTTCTTTTCAGGACTTCGTGTGTGCAGAGGAGTAGATCCAAAGTCGGGTTCACAGACCTACCCGGTCTTCTAACAGGAGTAGAGTTACACTATTTACATTATTCAGACTATTGTCCTCATCTTTGTCGCCATATCTATTACAACGCTTCAGCCATTGTACGCTCCGGCCTTCTTCAGGTGGTTGGAATGTCGAACTGAACCCTTTATTTCCTCAAGGACACATGACAAAGTGGATAAAGGCGTTAGTTAGATCCAGTGACAGGACCCAAAGAGTGTGAGTTCAATACCCGGTTAAGGCGTTAGAGAACTTTCAGAGGGGAATTAACAGGAGATAACTGATAACTGACATCCATTAAACATGGCACGTGGAACAAGAACAGTCTACACCAGTGAGGAACATAAAGGGTTAAGTTCGACATTCCAACAACCTGAAGAAGGCCGGAGCGTACAACGGCCAAAACGTTGAAATAAATATGGCAACAAAGATGAGGACAATAGTCCGAATAATGTAAATAGTGTACATAATACCACATCTCAGAAATATAGACAGATACTGAAGGGCCGAAACGTTGTAATGAATATGGCAACAAAGATGAGGACAATAGTCCGAATAATGTAAATAGTATACATAATACCTCATCTCAGAAATATAGACAGATACTAAAAGGCTCAAACGTTGTAATAAATATGGCAACAAAGGTGAGGACAATAGTCCGAATAATGTAAATAATGTACATAATACCTCATCTCAGAAATATGGACAGATACTGAAAGGCCGAAACTTTGTGATAAATATGGCAACAAAGATGAGGACAATAGTCCAAATAATGTAAATAGTGTGCATAATGCCCCATCTCAGAAATAGAGACAGATACTGAAAGGCCGAAACGTTGTAATAAATATGGCGACAAAGATGAGGACAAAAGTCTGAATAATGTAAATAGTGTACATAATACCTCATCTCAGAAATAGAGACAGATACTGAAAGGCTGAAACGTTGTAATAAATATGGCGACAAAGATGAGGACAATAGTCTGAATAATGTAAATAGTGTACATAATACCTCATCTCAGAAATAGAGACAGATACTGAAAGGCTGAAACGTTGTAATAAATATGGCGACAAAGATGAGGACAATAGTCTGAATAATGTAAATAGTGTACATAATACCTCATCTCAGAAATATAGACAGATACTGAAAGGCCGAAACGTTGTAATAAATATGGCGACAAAGATGAGGGACAATAGTCTGAATAATGTAAATAGTGTACATAATACCTCATCTCAGAAATAGAGCCAGATACTGAAAGGCCGAAACGTTGTAATAAATATGGCGACAAAGATGAGGACAATAGTCTGAATAATGTAAATAGTGTACATAATACCTCATCTCAGAAATATAGACAGATACTGAAAGGCCGAAACGTTGTAATAAATATGGCGACAAAGATGAGGACAATAGTCTGAATAATGTAAATAGTGTACATAATACCTCATCTCAGAAATAGAGACAGATACTGAAAGGCCGAAACGTTGTAATAAATATGGCGACAAACATGAGGACAATAGTCTGAATAATGTAAATAGTGTACATAATACCTCATCTCAGAAATATAGACAGATACTGAAGGGCCGAAACGTTGTAATAAATATGGCGACAAAGATGAGGACAATAGTCTGAATAATGTAAATAGTGTACATAATACCTCATCTCAGAAATATAGACAGATACTGAAGGGCCGAAACGTTGTAATAAATATGGCGACAAAGATGAGGACAATAGCCCGTATAATGTAAATAGTGTACTTAATACCTCATCTCAGATATATAGACAGATACTGAAGGAGTAGAGGCATAACCTATGTTTCCAGTTTAAAAATAAAAAATGGGGTTTTGCACAGGACCTTAGCTGGAATGTAAAGGTTCCCTCGCCTCGTCTTTAAAAAAAAGAAACCGGTCGCTTCAAATCATCAGATTGTTCGAGAAGCACTGGGTGACAGGACGTTTGATGGATGTGAACGTAATGGAACTTAACCTGAATTCGAACTTTGTTCGGGCTTCTAACCATCCCACCACCTTTATACTTTATATATACATAGACTATTCTAATTTCCGAAGCACTTTGGTTAAAAATATATGTCATTGTTAGAGCAATATTGTTTTTTTTTGTTTTTTATTATCATAATCCATCTGTTCTAACCACATCGGCCTCCGATGTGAGTTATGACAGATTAAACACAATTCAGAATCCTTAAAATTGTTGCTTCTTTTACTTGTTTGATGGGAAGAATATAGTTGGGGAATATCTACCATTCCCTCCCGCCTTGTTCTCTCTGTGTGCTGGGGGTGGGGATGCGTCGGGTAGGAAGGTTTTTTTGGGGTTTTTTTTTTTTTAATCTTAATAAGACCATAACATAACGAAGCCAATGGCGTTTTATATCTATATTGCTTTTCTTAACCAAAAAGCTGATAGATCGCCTGAGACCTGTTTTGCCTGGATGGTTCTACTTGTATTGTTCACCCCAGCAAGACACAGGAAATGAGATTTAGGCTGAAAATAACAGTAATCTCTTATTTTTGTTATCAAAAAGGAGGGGACTCCTCCCCCTCCTCCTCCCCCCCCTTCCCTCAACGTCTTTTATCGTTTACCAACAGACTTCTTTCGTTTTCTACTTTCTCTTGCTCTTTCTTTTCCGACCCCGCTTCTTATTTTCGGTTCTTGTTACTCGGATTTCTTTTTATTTCCCTTTGCTTTTGTTAATCTTCTTCATGGCATTTTCAAGTTTTCGCTTTGAGTTAGTTATTTATTTATTGCATATTGCGTCTGGCTTTTTATTTTCTTGGTCGACATAATTATTTCCTTCTCGTATCGGTTTATTTATTTATTTTTTCTTTTCTTATTCCTTCTTCCATCTTGTTTTTGTTCTATTTAATTTTTTATATATTACATTTTTTTTTCCTTCATTTTTGTGTGGTTATTTGATCATTCTGTGCGCTGTTTTTTTTTATATTTAAAATTTATTTCTTTCCGTTGTTTTTTTTTTTTTTTTTTTTTACAAATGTTTTCTTTCTTTATTTCTCTGAGGAAAAAAGAAAACAATAACAAATTTTTAACGTTTACTTCTTTATTTTTTTACTGTCTTTCTTTCTCCTCGCCCTCTCTATATTCATTTCTTTCTTTTTTCATTCCCTTTTCTTTCCTTCTTTCTTTCTTTCTTTCTTTCTTTCTTTTTACTCTCACTAGACATATTTGTTTCTTATCTTCTTTCTTTCTTTCTTTCTTTTTACTCTCATTAAACATATTTGTTTCTTTCCTTCTGCCTTTCTTTCTTTTTACACTCACTAGACATATTACCTTTTTCCTTCCTTCTTTCTTTCTTTCTTTTTACTCTCACTAAACATATTTGTTTATCTTCTTTCTTTCTTTCTTTCTTTCTTTTTACTCCCACTAAACATATTTCTTTCTTTCCTTCTGTCTTTCTTTCTTTCTTTTTACACTCACAAGACATATTACCTTTTTCCTTCTTTCTTTCTTTCTTTCTTTTTACACTCACTAGACATATTTGTTTCTTTCCTTCTTTCTTTCTTTTTACTCTCACTAAACATATTTCTTTCTTTATTTCTTTCTTTCTTTTTACGCTCACTAGACATATTTCTTTTTTTCTTCTTTCTTCCTTTCTTTTTACACTGACTAGACATATTTCCTTCTTTCTTTCTTTCTTTCTTTCTTTTTACACTGACTAGACATATTTCCTTCTTTCTTTCTTTCTTTTTACACTGACTAGACATATTTCCTTCTTTCTTTCTTTCTTTCTTTTTAAACTGACTAGACATATTTCCTTCTTTCTTTCTTTCTTTTTACACTGACTAGACATATTTCCTTCTTTCCTTCCTTCTTTCTTTCTTTCTTTTTACACTGACTAGACATATTTCCTTCTTTCTTCCTTTCTTTCTTTTTACCCTCACTAAACATATTTCTATTTCCATTACGCCTTCCATTTTCCTTGCTTTCCTTCTTTCTCATATTTATCGTCTGCATATTATTTTCAGTAATATTTTTGGGCTTCTTCTTTGCCATTATCCTTCACAATTCTCTTTTCTTCACCTTCCTTCATAATTTCTCTCTCCCTTCTTTACTTGTTTCTTTCCCGTATTTAGTTCGCATCTCTCTTTTTTTTTTCATTTTTAATTCTTTGTCTTCCCGAGTTATTTTTAGCAGCACTTTAACCAATTTCTTTCTTTCTATGATTCTTTCTTTCGTTCTCGCTGTTATTTCTTTCTACTGTTCCTTCTACTGTTCTTTCTTCTGCTATCCTTTCTTTCGTATATTCTTTCTTTCTATATTTCTACTATTCTTTCTTTCTGCTCTTCTTACTTTATTCTGTTCTTTCTTTCTACCGTCCTTTCTGTTGGACTTTCTATCTATTGTTCTTTCTTTCTTTATATAGTCCTTTCTTTTACTGTTCTTACTTTCTTTCTGCTATCCTTTCTTTCTTTTTTTCGAGTGTTCTTTCTTTCTACTATTCTTTCTTTCTACTATTCTTTCTGTTTAACTTTCTTTCTTTCTGCTGTTATTACTCTCTTTCTAGTGTCCTTTACACAGTTATTTCTTTCTGCTTTGCTTACTCTCTTCCTACTATCCTTTCTTTCTGCTGTTCTTACTTTCTTTCGACTATATTTATTTTCTTTCTGTTATTCTTTCTTTCTACCGTTCCTTCTTTCTTTCTCTTGCACTTTCTTTCTTTCGTTCTCATTGTTCTTTCTTCTGCTGTCCTTTCCTTCTTTTCCTTCGACTTTCTTTCTTTCTACTTTTCTTTTTTTTTCTTCTGTTCTCTCTTTCTTTCTGTTCTACTTTCTGTCAATTTTCTATTTTGTTATTCTTTGTTTCCTTTCTTTCTTTATTGATTCTTTCTTTTCTTTTTTGTTCTTGTTTTTTTCTTGTCCTTTCTTTCTTTTTTCTCTTTTTCTTCCTTTCTTTTTCTTAATCTCCATCTTTCTTTTGCATTTTATTTGTTTCTTTCTTTCTCTCCTTTTTTCTTTCTTTTAGTTTTTTGTTCTTTTATTTTTAGTTTTATTTTTTCTATGATTATTTATGTTTTTCTGTTTTTGTTCGTTCTCTGGATTTCATTCTTTCTCTTTCTTTCTTTTTATCGTTTAATCTTCCTTCTTTTCTTTCCGTCTGCAGTTCCTTCTTTTCTCTTTCCTTCTATTGTTTTGCTTCCCTTTTCTTTTTCTTTGTTTGGCTTTCTTTTTTTTATACTTTCTGTGGTTTTTTTCTTTCTTTCTCTATCTTATCTTTTTTCTTATCTTCATATTGTTCTTTCAACTATTTCTTTCCTGCTTTATCGCTCCCCAGTACATCGAAGTCGGTTACAAGGAGGAAAAGTGAAAGTAAAAGTAGAAAAACATAGAAAATGAAGCGAAAATCGCTTCATTTTCTATGTATTTCTACTTTCACTTTCACTTTTCTTTTTCTTTTTTTTATATTTGTTCAGTAGAAAGTAGAAAGACATAGAAATGAAGCGAAAATCGCCTCATTTTCTATGTCTTTCTACTTTCACTTTCACTTTTCTTTTTCTTTCTTTTCTATTTGTTCAGTCATGTATTCCTTCCGTCCTTTTCCCACGTTACTTTATTGTATCCTCATCTTTGTTTGTATCTTTTTCTACTCTTACCTTTGCAAAGACTTTTTATGGTATCATACCTAACTACCAAACAAGTAAGGCGCAGACAATGTGAGGAAGGTTGATGAGCTCATCGGTAGATGTATAGTAACAGGAACTGTATGGACATTACTATTGACGTTATCATAGTGTAGCTTCCTTGTGCCTTTTCTAAAAATATTTTCAATGTGATCGCTTGCTTCCTGTTTAGAATTGGGTTTCCGGTTCCTTCGAGATTTTTCTCATTCTCTTTCACTCCCCGTATCCCCTTGCGTCTCACTGGCATTATCGTTTGGCTTGGAGTTAATTGATTAAAAAATATTTCATTAGAAACTATCCTGCATATTTATAAGTCTACCATTCGTCCGTGCGTTGAATAATGTTGTCATATCTGGTCTGGTTCTCCTGCTTGAGATTCTTGACGAAATCCAAAGAAGGATCTGGCCAGGTATCTTGGCCAGGTGTCTTCATTTTTTTTTTCTTACTGGGTCCCCGATTACATGGATTTAAGCGTGCTACTAGATTGGCTAATAAGTCCGATCCTTTTTCTGTTGAAATACGTAAACGCAGCCGCTATTTCTACTCCAACAGTTTGTTATCTGTCACTTCCAACCGGTGGAACTCCCTTCCGATTCCTTCTTTCCATACAATCTTCAAAAATTTAGAGGCAGCGTCAATCGGCATCTTCTGTTTTCTTGAATCCAGTCTTTCGCTTAATTACTCCATTCTCAGTCTTCTTTTTCACTTTCACTTTCACTTTCACTTTTCCTCCTTGTAACCGACTTTTCGTGCCTTACTGCCATTACCGCTTTACTTGAATAATTAAACTGTGTTGTACCGTACCTATGGACGATAATGATTATGTCCGAATTCCTATAAATACAATGGTATATACTGTATATTGTCTTTGACTGTGGAAATCACTTCCAAGTATGCTGGTCAAACTCTCTGCCTTCGGGCATAGAGGATCTCGAGACGAGGCTATGTCGAAGGGCAGAGTCCCCGTCTCAGGAGACAGCTACCCGACCTCTTTGTTATGGGGTCTAGTGGAATTATTGGCCAAGCCTACGGACTCGGATATCCCTCTATAAACTCGGCTTTGTGCCACATCCGTCTGCGTAGGGCGATTAGTGAATATATTCACTGTATGTTGTCTTTGACTGTGGAACTCACTTCCAAGTGTGCTTGTCAAACTCTCTGCCTTCGTGCAGAGGAGAACCCAGACGAGGCTATGTCGACGTGCAGAGTCTCGTCTGGGGATTGTAGACAGCTACCCGACGCCGTGGGAATTTTTTTACCCGGGCTTACGGTCTCGGTTCGCCGCAAATTAAATTCAGCTTTGTGCCACATCTGACCACGTGGCGAGGTTAGTTAATATCTTCACCGTGGAATTCACTTCCCGGTGTGATGGTCAAACCCACTGCCTCCAGCAGAGAGGAACCCAAACGAGGCTATATCAAAGGGCATCTACCTGACGCCGTGTATACGGTTAAACATTTGGTTAAAAGTATTAATAAGGAGCGAGAAAAATAAAAGAAGTGGAATCAAGAACACAGTAGATAACTATGGACATTGCATTTAGATTTGTTAAGGTCAAAGTTGACTACCCGACACCGTGTATACGGGTTCGACGGGGAATTTTTGGCCGAGCCTACGGGCTTGGTTCATCCCACATTAAATTCGGACTTGTGCCACATCTGACCGGGTGGGGATGTTTGTGAATATCTTCACTATCTTCCCGGTGTGCTTGTCAACTTCTCTCCCTCCAGGCAGAGAGGAACTCAGACGAGGCTATGTCGAAGGGCAGAATCTCGTCTGGAGATTTTAGACAGCTACCCGACGCCGTATTCACGAGGTCTGCGCCGAATTTTTGCCCCAGCCTATCATTAAAATGACTGACAAGGTACTGCAGTTAAGTTTTTTATTTAATTTTACTTCTTTCCTCAGCATAAATTATGTAGAAATTGATCAAATGTTTTGTTTATCCGAGTGCTTTCAACTATAATTTTAGTCATTGTCAAGGATGATTTTATTTTTACTTCTAAAATGTATGGATTGTTTTATGTATGTGTCTAGAGTTATGGGAAGAGGATTTATTTTATTCATCGTTGATATTGAATGTTGGCGTTTCTTTTTTTTTTCTTTTTATTAATAAAGTCTCCATTATTTTTAGTCGTTTCGTACATGTAGACGAGACTATTATATTTGAATTATGAACGAGTATCCTGCGGATAGAGTTTGTTACGTCTCCATGTGTATTTATATGAGACCTAATTGAGCTATGGCCAGAGAGATATAACGTAAGTCTTCTTGTTAAACATGTTGTAGTATATCCAATATAATTATTTATGAATTTATTTGACTCAGGAACTGCTTTACTTAAGGAATATGTGAATACGTAAATACTATTGGTTATCTATAATTTGGAGTATATATATATATATATATATATATATATATATATATATATTAACTGATTTAAAATCTTTTTCGCTACACAGTAATAACCAGGTTTCAAAAACTGAAGCTAAAAACTTCAAATTTAATTATATAATTAAATTAAAAGCATTAGTTATGTTTCATCTTCAAGCGAATTTTGGAATAACTTATTTTTGAATTTACTGAGTTTTAAACGCACATATAAATTCGTTATTTCCTGTTTCCAAGGATACAACGAAATCCAATCATTCAGACAGGGGCTGTAGCGTGTTCATTTTTATTAACTATTGTTGTATCAATTATGAGTTACGTTCGAAAAAGAGGTTAAGTTTAGGGAGGGTAGGGGTGTATTTTCCAATGAATTTTGACATCCGTTAAACGCATGTCGTCTGTTTTTGTTGTTGTTTTTTTTTAATTAACGGCAAAAGGTTTTTCGGGATTTTTTTCATACTTGTATACTTAAAGATTCTATGTAGGGGTGTTTGGGTTAGAATACGTTTTATTTAACTACAATTTTAAAATATTTTTACTCTTAATTACTAATAGACTATATTTCTTTTTAAAACAAGTAAATGTAATAGAATTACTTAAATTATTTAAAATTATTTTTTCGTATCAAATATAAGTATGTATATTACCAGCTCCCATTATTTTATTTTATTTTTAAATGTTATTTAATGAAGATTTTTGACAATGACGGTAAAGAATAGCTATTTCATTTCTTTGATTCAGTAAATTTTTATTTTTATAAAGTTAGTAATATATAGTTTCTCATGTATGCACAAAGGACATGGGTCATTTAATGACCTACATATTCTAGCTTTTCTTATTAATTTCCTTGGTTTTCCTTGGATTCTTTTAAGTGCCAGAAATATTTTGAAAGGGATGTCTGATTTCTTTATTTATTTATCCTAAATGAAGTTTGATGTTGATTAAACCGCTTTTTGAACTCATGGCTTGTGCAACATTTATAGAATTTTATGTTTTCGGGATTCTCAATAGATGAGATATTACATTGGTATACTAATGATTCCGTGCGACATTTATTTTGTAGAGGACAGTTATGAGGGTTTCTACAGTTACATAAGTTTTGTTTATCTTCATCTGTTTTTATTTTTATATTGTCGAATTTTTTTTGGTTTTGCTCTAAGTGTTTATTGAAGTGTTTCTTAATATTTTTTTCTAAGTTTTCAGTAAAGCTGTAACTTAATTTTAGTGTATTTTTATAGAAAATAGTACTGAGTTTGCTTTCTCTAGGAAAGTGCTTAACTATTAATGCAAGGAATGCAAGGTCCTAATTTGTTCTTTACCATTTGGTTGTAGGGGGGTGTATACCAAATTATTTTTCTATTTCTGTTTTTTCTATGCTTTCCATTTTTCTTTTTATATAAGTTAGTTTTGGGTTTTTATAGCCACTATCTTTTAGAGCTTTATTATAGAAATTAATATGTTCATAGAATTCAGCAAATGAGAAGATTCTAAGAGCATATTAATTTCTATAATAAATATACTAAAATAGAAGGGGTTAATGATTGTGAAAGAATAACAAAAAGAAAAACATTATTAAGGAGCGAGAAAAATAAAAGAAGTGGAATCAGGAAGACAGTAGATAACTATTGACATTACATTTAAATTTTTTAATGTCAAAATTGGCTGGAATGAAAGACGACGGGAGAGAGTTCCACAGGCGAGAAGTACGATAAAAGAAACAGTTAGCAAAGTAATTACGGTTGCATCTAACCACTTCAAATGTAAAGTGGTGATACCTTACTACCAATCTAGTGCTGCACTTACATTCATTCAATTTAGGTGCCATTGAGCAAATTTCATCAGAACAATTAACATGAAAGTATTTATAGAAAAGACACAGGGAAGCTACGTTACTGCGATGAGAAAGTGAGTGAAGCCGAGATGTCGAGCCGGGACCAATAATTTTGGATAAAACTGAAAATTTGATGAGGACCTGGTCAGCCCGGTTGCCTTATGGCTATGAGACCGATGGATAAATCTTACTATGGTCAATTCGTGGAAGACGTTGTTTCTTGATGTTACTGGCCTAGCAAGGTGATCCCAGCTGATAGTCTCTTTGAAAGGAGCCTGAAAATCATACTACAGATTAACCCAAGCCTTGTGAGTGAAATTGGGTAGACAGAACCGTTTCAAAGCCGTCGTTGTTTGTGCTAACACAAAGTCGTAATTCATCTTGACCGAGTACTGTGCTTAAATTCATAAAGTCTAGCTACCATAGAGAAAAGTTCATCAGAACAATTAACATGGAAGTATCTATAGAACAGGCACAGGGAAGCTACGTCACTGTGATAAGAAACTGACTGAAGACGAAATGCCAGGTCAGGACTGATAACATTGCAGATTCTTCTTTGGATTTTACCAATAGTCCCTAAACATATAGCAGTGGCACTAGACTTATAAATATGTAAGATGCATTCTGAAAATAAAAAAAAATTGTCTAGCACGGTACAGTGAAACAACGTTACTAGCAGCCGACCTAGCAATTGATTCATTATAATCTTTCCACTATCATCTCAGGACAAAATGTGACCTCGAGGAGGTGTAACAATCACTCTCCTGGGGGTTAGCATCAGCCATGCTAATGGAATCAGTCAAGGGACCTCTCAGGTGATTAATAGAAAAGAAAGTTTTCTTTTGGAGGCGTTCAAATTAATAAGTCATTCCTTGCTCCGGATAACAATAGATTGCAGGTCACTTTTATGATCAACTGTCAGGAGAGGTGTAAATCGTTGTGTCAAAAGCACAGATACCGATTTGAAAGCTGAAGTCATCAAGAATGATAAAAATTAGGAAGAACGTAGTGGGATACCTGCATTAATGCAAAAAGATCTAGAAGAGACGCCATTCAGGACAATGTTCATTTCACGATTTGATAAGAAAAAAAAATTAACCTGTTCTAAGATTTGTAGAGAAATACCATAACCTTTCAACTTGTGAAGAAAACTGGTATGTCAGACCCTGTCAAAGACTTTCGAGATGTCCAAAATAATAGCCCAAACTTCACCATTCTTATCTAAGTCTTGATAGACTCTTTCAGAAATAATAAGTTAATACATCAACAGCTGACCTAGAGAAGTGAAAGCGAAATTGCCTGTCTGAAAGAAGACTATACAGTTTGAGGTGATTAAGCATTTCATTTGGAGCATTCAGAATTTCTTGAAAAGTTTCCGATAGACTCATTGAATGGATTCCTGACAGCTCATGCCTTAAAGAAATACCAAAAAAAAATGTACTCACTACTACAACTCGCGCATTACGAAGAGCTTTCTCTATGAATATGTATGTAATCCGGTGTTCTTATTGGTATTTTTATATATAAATTCACTGATTTAAAAATACGGTTTCATCGCTACACAGGAATTACCATGTTTCAAAATGAGAAAAAAAAATTCAAATTCAATTATATAAAATTAAAAGCATTAGTTCTGTGAAACAGAACTAATATATATATATATATATATATATATATATATATATATATATATATGTATGTATGTATATTTTGTCTTCAAATAACCTGCACAGGTTGATAAGCCGTAGGAAACGAATCAGCCACTCAAGCTATATAGAAGGACAGGTATTGCGTAATCGTTTTTTTTTATCACATTGCCCAATGGAAGGCAGTAAAGTCACTAAGACACAATTGAGTTAGTGAGAGGGCCCGAATAAGGAAAAAACAGGAACATAAGTATGGGACGAGAACAATAGAAGATTAATTAGGAAGACAGTGGACAGAGATTGACATTGAATTTAAATTTTTGAAAATCAAACTTGGCTGGAAATCGTCGTGCTGGAAAAGATTTCCACAAGCGAGTGGCAGAGCCCATGGGGACACCTGTATTAATACAAAAACACCCAGAAGAATAGCCGTTCAAGAGAACTTTCATTACGGGATTTGATATGAAAACTTGATTTAAATTTTAAAAAATTCGTGCCATAACCTTTCAACTTGTGATGAAACCTCATATGCCAAACTCTGTCGAATGTTTTCTAGGATTCCAAAGTAATAGTCCAAGCTTCACTATTCTAAGTCTTGATAGACTCTTTCAACAATAATCCTTAATACATCAGCAGCTGACCTAGAGAAGCGGAAGCGAAATTGCCTATCTGAAAGAAGATCATGCAGTTTGAGGCGATTAAGCATTTCATTAGGAGCATTCAGAATTTCTTGAAAAGTTTCCGATAAACTCACTGAATGGATTCCTGGCAGTTCATGCCTTAAAGAAATACCAAAAAAAATTGTACTCACAAGTATAACTCACACTTTAGGAAGAACTTTAACTATATAAAATGTGTGTAATCTTTGTTTTTGGATATTTTTTTGTTTTGTTTTTTCGTTTAATTTTTTTGTTTTGTTTTGTTTTTGTTTTTATAAAAATGATCAGTGGAAAATGTCATGAAGCCATTTCTGACGTTAGGTCTCTGATTGGGACCCAGAAAGAAATAAGTATACACCAGTTACTAAAGGAAATAAAATTTACTCTTATCAAAACGATCAGGCTTACAATTAAGACAGTTCTGAATACAGAGTTCAGAGCCATTAATGAAAAATAGGCAAAAAACATAGGTACAAGGGTAGAGCCCATGGGGACACCTGAATTAATGCAAAAAGATAGTGACCGTTCATGAGAACTTTTCATTAGGCTATTTGACAAGAAAGCTTAAATTAAATTCAAAAATTCGTTCAGAGATTTTTACCTTTTGAAAAAGACCGGTATACCAAACCCTTTAAAAAGGCCTCGAAAATTCCAAAATGACAGCCGGAATTTCACCATTGTTATCTAAATCTTGATAGACTCTTCCAGCGACAATCGTTAATACATCAACAATTGACCTGAAGAAGCGAAATCCATATTTAACTAATATGGATTTCGCTTCCCCGCGTCAACTGCTGAAAAAAGTTCTACACGTCTGTCTGTCTAACATTAGTTTTTCTAACTTCCGACTAAATTCTTTCATGTCACAATTACCTTTCCAAATATTATTTATTCTACCGATCCAACCATTTCGACTGTCACGCCATTATTTCCGCGTGTTATTAGAATTCTGTTTTTGTCAGATTCCACTGTTTCATAGCCTGCTGGAACCAATTTAATTTGATGTCATCTACAACGGTCAAACTGGATTTATACGTACATTTCACACACGAACCCCGCCTCCACACACACACACACATATATACATACATGCTACTAAAAAATAAGGTTCATGCTAAGATATATAGGTATATGAAGAGATAGATAGATAGATAGATAGATAGATAGATAGATAGATAGATAGATAGATAGATAGATAGATAGATAGATAAGAAGGGCTGCTGAGGTTTTCTAAGTCTAGGCTAGTTTTAGATTTATACAATTGGTAAAGTTTCCAAAATTATTTTTTTGTTCATATATATATATATATATATATATACAGGCGACCTGACGATTGCGTCTAGAATGAAACAGACTGTCGCCTCTGAGTGGTGACTTCAATGTTCATTTTTATATATATATTTACATACGCTCTATCTCTGATATTGAGCACATTATCTCATGAATATAGCACACTTTAATATTTCTGCATATATATATATATATATATATATATATATATATATATATATATATATATATATAATGATATTTCGGGATCCAAAGAAACTTTTGAGCCAGAAATCCGAAGTCTTGAGTTTTTGAAATACATATTAAAGATTTCTTAAGCACATATGATGCCGGATAGAAAAAAATTGTACATTTCAATTAACCTCCGACCAATACATTTATAATATCCTAGCTTATCTACTACTACTACTACTACTCTTCTTCTTCTTCTTCTTCTTCTTCTTCTTCTTCTTCTTCTTCTCATTATTATTATTATTATTATCCTTATTATTATTATTATTATTATTATTATTATTTTCCCCTTCAATCCTTCTACTTGGTTCCCTTCGTCTTCTTCTTTTAAATTTCCTCCTTCTCACTCTTCTTCTTCTTCTTCTTCTTCTTCTTCTTCTTCTTCTCATTATTATTAT